ATTGGATATTGATGAGAACAGCCAAAATATCCTTAATAAAATTAAAGATACAAGCAGTCAACTACCTGAAGGTAACTGAGGTTTACAATTTCCATCCATGTTCCTCACCCCTGCAGTTTATTACCCATTTTATTAATCTCCATCTCTCCTTTATAGAACTTGTGTCGAGTTCCTTTTTCTATACCTGTTCCTTGTGTTATCTCACCACCCGTTTGCCCCTAACAATCTTCCACATGCCAGTTGTTATTCTTTTGCACCAATTACAGATGAACCTGTTCCTTCACTCTCTTCCTTCAATTTATACTAACTGCCAAACCTTTACCTCACTTTCTTAAATCATTAATAATTCATCAAGTTTAAACAAAGGAAATCATGACCGTGACGTTGTTTAGATTTGATTTGATTTTATTTTATTTCTCCGTTTTCTCCTTAGGTTTAGTTTTGAAAGAGAAGATACTTCAAACACTCAACACAGTGTTTGACCACATTTCCAAACACCTCGAAGTTCGTCAAAAATACTCCGCTACGCGTCGTATTATCAACTCTTTTCTCGTTGCTTGGAAATGTGGTCAACCCGGCCCATCAGTTTTGATGTATTACTTCTCAGCCACTTGGAAAACCTATACGCCCCATCCTCTCTCACCTGACCATGCTCTGCAGCTTGCCATGTTTCTTAGCGTCACTCTGCTCCTATGCCTCTAGTCCATACACCACTACACAAATGCTCAGGGACGGATCTAGAAAGAGGGTGCAGAGGGTGCGCACCCTCCCCCCTCCCCCTCTTCCGAGATGACATGCGGCTTTCTAATATAACTGGTAATCTGCAAAACAAAATTAAAAAACAGTTTTGCCATTCCTTAGTGGTGCACCCCCTCCTTAGAAAAATCCTGGATCCGCCCCTGAATGCTTCATAACAGACTTTTATCCAGATGGCCATCCAGGCATCCGTGCCCACGTTTAAGGGGGAAAAAATCACGTTCCTGTATAACTTGTTAGTTTTCATGGACACCATAGCAAAAGTTGGACGCCCAACCGCACTTGACTTTTCAGATCCCTGTCTAAAAGCCTGCTTCATCGCTTCTTATTTCACACAACAACTTACTTCTCCTGCGCGAGTTTCCTTGCCATCACTTCCACATAACACATACGTGTTCCTATGCCTGCCTTTTCAGTTTTGTAAATCAGCTTGTTTAACACTTCACCCTTTGTGTTGTTCTCCTTTACAGTTCCAGTGAAGCCTCAAGCAATCGTTAACCCCAAGAGTAATGTCCATGTAGCCCCAGTGTTGAAGAAAAAGACTGTAAGTACTTTAATAACCTCTTATGGCTATTTCATTTTTGTGTGGTTATTTTATTACTGCAAGGTTCTGTGATACTAGATCCGGAGAAGAATTTAACGCCTGGAAAAATTACGCAGTTGGACATTTGTTTAACAGTCATTTTTCTTTTATCTTTTTCCTCCCAGTCTTTCAAAGGCTCATTTCTGAAGCACAGCAAAACTACTCTTTCTCGCCTGTCTTCTCTCACATCCAATACACCAAATGCCTCAGCTACCACAAGAGGATTTGTGTTTCAGACTGTTTCACCATCAAACAAGAATAACTCGAACACCAAGGTACGGTTTTGTGTAAAATAAAATTGTCTATCAGCACACTGTTACTTTTATGCATTCAGTGAATACAAGAGCTCTTTGAGAGTGTACAGGCATTCGAATACAGTGGAACCCCGTTAATACGGTCACCACCGGGCCATGACAATTTGGCCGTATTGATGACGTGGCCGTATAAACAAGGGTAGAGTCAAACCTCATGACTGGTCTTAATTGAGTGACGTCTTAACAGATACATCACAATTACACTTCTAAACAACTGTTCTTTAATAAGCATCCGGAGAGAAGATGTGATATTTAATAAAAAAAAA